CTTGCAAGTAAATCAAAGGGAGGGTGGAATTGAACTCAGGGATGATGGCTGCCTGGAGTCAGAAACAGGAGAGCCTGAGAATGTGGGTGGTTTCTATGACCCCTCCTCCCCCCTCCTCAATTTAATTAAGTTCAAGTTGAAACAGATTTATTTATATTTTCCAGAACATTTAGTGAAGTTGTCTTGATTTGGGCCAATTTCTAAGTGCTTTCCTCCCCTTTATTTTAGAAGAAACTTGAGACTCTGGTCCCTATTAGAGAGGAAAAAGCATCATTGATGTCCAGCTTCCCTCCAGCTACCCTGCACTGAGCAGACGGTGTGACTCATCTTTCCTAGAAACACAACAATGAGATCATCTGTCTGTTTCCTTCCCACTCTGAATACAGTTGAATTGGGTTTTTTTCTGTGTTCAGAGATGACTTTTTTTTTTTTTTTCTGGAAAGCCCTTTGCTTGTTAATACACAAGAGTTCAATCATGTAATTGGAATACGGTGAGGAAGAAAATGAGCAGTGATTAATACATTCTTTTTTTCCAAGAATACATCCCTGTTTCCAAAACTAAAATTGAATAAGCGATGCAAAGAAGTACATCTGTACTTTGTTTTGATTTCTCCTGCGACACAGGACTCGCCACTTGCAGAGGCAGATCTGTTTTAACAGTCCCTTAGATGATTCTTGCTTGCAGGCATACAGCATCTGAGGGCCTATGACTTTACTTGCCACCCTTAGCCCTGACTTCTAGAACCGGAGAAGATGCCTAGCCCTTTGCAGGCAATTATCATCTCACATAATCAGCTCTACTTCACCTGTAGAATCGATACATGGGTCGTTTTACCTTTGACATTTTGTTATACTGCTAGGTTAACAATTTGGCCTGAATTACAAATTCACATGTCTGCCTTTACATTTATGTAAGTGTCCATTTCAATAAATCAACAAGTTATTACCACAGAATGGGAAAAATTTCTAGAAAAAATGATTTTTCCTGAATTAAGATTATTGTTGCATAATCTATATCTGGACTATGTTAATTACCAAAATATGAGCAATTTTATATTTTACAATTTCTTACCTAATTCCAGAAAGGTGTTGTCTAAAGTTACTGCATCAGTCCAAGTACAACTCTACTCTAACATTCTCATTAACTGATTTTTATATGGGCTGCGGGCAGAAAAATGTTATAAAATTCATGAAACTTATTTTTAAGATATTGATTTTCCAATATTTCCCTCCAGGACACTCTCAAGTTCTTTTAAAAACTGAAATAAAATGTAATGTCATATTTATCTATATCTGCAAACATAAGTTTGGGAAACAAAACTAAAACACAAGAACTTTAAGAAAATACCTGAGTAGCCCAAATCGTACCCCAGGTATACTTCTGTACATGAGGAGGCTTAAAATAAAATGGAATATTTAGGTATTCAATCAGAAGAGAAACTTATGATTTCCCATGCAGGTTTAGGATCCCCTTTAAGTTAATTTTCAAATAAAGATGGAAAATATACGCAGAATTGTAAAGTTGAGATAATCTGCCAGGAATGAAAGGGACTCTGAATTCAGAGTCAGGATGCCTGAGTTCTGGATATGACTTGGCTGTTAACTATCTAGCTCCTGCAATGACAGGGTTTGCAGGCACAAAGATTACTAGGGTTGGATAAAGAGGGCAAGTCGAAGTGAGAGATGATGGGTGAAAATGAATTAAACTGCGGACAGGATATGTGCAATGTTCTGTGGCATATGCAACTTGTCCACTCACTGAAGGCCACAGGCAGACGGTCAGAAGTAATGTGAACATTACAGTATAACATGGAGAACCATTCTTGCTTTCTGAAATGTCCAATAAAAGCAGCACAGCTCCTTGGTACCCCAAACCCGGTCACTGGGGCATGAGCATTCCCACAGCATTGTCTTCCTCTATATTGTCCTTTAACCGACTTCTTCCCTGATTGCATTTCTGCTCTGAGATGCTTCCCTTCCAGCCTTTTCTGTCCAGGCTTTCATGCATGGATACAGTGGTGAAGCAACACTTGGGAAGAGGAGTGCCTTCCATTTGCCATCCCTCACTGGGAAACCTGTGCAAAAGTCCTCTGTGGGCATTAGGGACATTTTCTACTCTCCCTTGTAATCTGGTTACTTTCCACAGATGGCAGAAGCAGCCATAAACTTTTTCATTTCTTCAAAATAATTATCATCACACCTTTCAGACATTTCCCAAGCTTTTTTTTTTCCCCCCCAGAATACTTGCTCAGCACGAAATCAGCTTCAGTCTGTCATTTTCAGTGAGTGGAGTAAAAGCCAGAATGTCTTCACAGACACAGGATTAAAACAAGATGGAGCCGCTGCAGATTCAGCAGTGAACTCCCAGGTAAAATATGGACTGTCCGAAAGTGGCCAAAATGGAACTTGACTCGTTCTCTGAGATTGGGTTGCTGAAAATCGCAAAGAGAATTACGTGAGCTGGATACTCTCCTCTTTCCACTGTGCCCCGGGAGACCGAATGACATTCTGTGTCACCCCTGCCTGTCACTGTGGTGTCAGGGTGGCTCCAGGCCATCAGAGAGCCTGGGGGGATGCTGGGGGCTGGAGGAGAGAGGTTTGAGTGTTATCCACCAGTCCTGTCCTCCTTGGGGCCAATGGTCTCACAGTGGCTAACACAAACCCTGTTGTATGTCCCCCTCCCAGGGCTCCAGCTCCCCAGGGTTCTGCAAGGTCTCTCTGACCTCCTTCTCTTCCAGGCCCAGAGGCAGTGAATGCTTTTGGCTATTGCCAGGATCTTAATTGAGAATGGAGACTGCAGTTACCCCTGAAACTCTGTAAATAAGCCCTCTGTTAAATGTCCTTTAGTCACCCCTTTGAACAGTGACTATGGATGTCACAGTGGTGGCAGGTGAACCTTTTAGAGACAAACATGTTGATGTGGCTGTAATTATGCTGCAGCAAGACTCAGTCTCTCTCAGCTCTGTGATAGAGCAGCTTTGTGTCCTCAGCACTGTTAATGATCTTCTCAGAGACTCAATTTCCTCATCTATAAAATCATATCATACTCACTGCATTAATTAAACTATAAATATCTAGTATATTAAACTAATTTTTTTGAATCAATATCTCCTTTGGATTTTTACAGTATTTTACAAATGACTAATTAATGTAGGAGATGTTTCCACGATTCATCTTTTCCAGCCAGTACCCCAACATCTCCTGGAATTTCGTTTCACTTTCCTTCCTTCCCCTCCAAACCAAATGGATCCTGTAGCTCACAGAGCTGGTGCCCAAGCCCTGGTCCGCTGAGTTCAGTACCCGTGTTTGTGAGGACCACCCAGCCCGAGAGCTGCCCACTTAAGGAAAATATCTGTTTCCATCCACCCCACCCTCTTCATCCCCACCAATAGATGGTTTCTTTATACTCACTTTTCTGAGATGCAGTTAAGTGGCTTGGCCTAAGTGCCTTGTTTAACTTAAAAACCCGCCTAAGTGTTTCCAGAACTTTTATGGGAATACCTTCTCTGGCTACCTCCAGGTTGGGCTATGAGGGGTCCGTGCTTGTGAGATTGCTATTGATTGGTACTGCACTGGGTTCCTCTCTTTCTGTTTAATGTATTTGGAAAAGTTGAGGAAAGAAATCTCAACAAGTCCTTCCCCCCTCCAAAATGAGGCAAGTAAACATGTCACCTACAGTTTGAAAGCACTTTGATAAAATTCTCCTGATTGCAGCCAGAGCAGTTTGGATATATAGTCAAGATTTTCATAGTTGGACTAGTTGAACTGCTTGGGACCTCTATGCCCTTAGCCATTGTTAGTTCTGGTTTTGTCCTTTGGAGAGTGAAAGCCGTATCCTGTCCCTTGATGGCAGAGTCACCGCCGTGAAGGAGTCTAGAGCAAGGGCATCTCCTCCGCCTACTGGAAAGCACAAGATCCGGCTGCAGCTGGCAAGCCACAGGACACATTTCAGGAAGTTTAACAATGGTTTCTTTTCTTACCGGCTACTGTTTCTGGATAGTTCTGTGGGCTCACTCTGCATAAATGAGCTGCTGACTTAGAATATATCCAAATGGTCAGTTTGAAAGATGAGCAACTCACTTGTGATTCATGTTTGGGGGTTCACTCTATATCCCTCATACTGAGTAAAAAGAGCCTACCAGGACAGGCAGGAGCCACCACACGGGCTGGGCCGTGAGGCAGATACCATTCCTATTAACCTCTAGAATCCTCACCACCCAGCTACAGTGTAGCATATCACCCCATCATCAGATGAGAAAACCGGGGCACAGAGTGCCGCTTGCCCAAGCCTTGCAGGCTGAATCATGCTGTCCTTGTCAACCGGTGTGCCATCTGGGTCACTGGAACCTGTGAATGGGTCCTCTATGCCACGGAAGATGCTTTCTAGCTGTGATTAGATGAAGAATTTGGGGTGCGGGGAGATGGTGTTAGAGTACCAGGTTGGGTCAAATGGAGCACAAGGATTCTTAGGAGAGGGAGGCAGGAAGGTCCAAGTGAGCGACAGTGTGTGATGAGGAATGTCGGGGTCAGCGTGAAGGTCAGCCTAGAGCCCAGGAGTGGGGGCCACCTGGGGAAGCTGGGGGGAGACAGGCTGCTCCTCTAGCACCCCCTGGGGGGGCCCCTCTCTGCTGACAGCTCCAGCACACTGCTGAGGCTCAGTTTGGACCTCTGGCCTCCACCGTTTTAAGGCACACTATGTGTTTAGTAGTATGTTAGGAGCATGAGGAAACCCATCGATCAAGGCTCACCCAAGATCACATAATTAACTTAAGGGATTGAATTACCTTAAGGGAGTTTGATTCCGGAATCTTCACATTTAGTCACCATGGATTTACTTCATTCTAAATTTGTGAATAATAAAGGTCAAAACAAAAAAAACAATTGGGGGAAATAATGAAAAAAAACGAAAAAGGGAACCGGGTAAAAAAAAACACGCCAACGAACCGCAACCCCCCGGGGAAGGAAAAGAACCCCCGCCCCCCCCCCCCGGCAACCAAGCCTCCCCCCGACTCACCTTGCAGGAGCGTTTGGCAGCAGGACTCTGCGTGGGTTCCCTGTACTTTCTACGCTGGCATCGTGGAACGCCTTTGCCATCGCTTGAGCAAGCTGCCAGGCCACCTGGAGAGAGCCAAGGGACCCCAGCCGACCACCAGTCCCTGAGAATGAGGCCATCTCTGCTGAATTCCTGTCTCACTGAGGACGTGCTTTTAAGCCAAGTAAGACCAAACTGTCCACTTGACTCGCAGAATCATCAGAGAAAGTCAAACGCTTGTGGTCAAAAGCCACTAATTTTTCAAGCAATTAGTTATAAAGCAATAGACAACTGTGACATATGTAAAGTACATAAAATGTCATCTGTTTTCTTGCTTTAAAATAATCAATCCAGGCACACTGTCCCAAGCCTGTAATCCCAGTGACTTGGGAGACTGAGACAGGAGGATCACCAAGTTCAAAACCAGCCTCAGCAACTTAGCAAGGCCCCAAGCAACTTAGTGAGACCCTGCCTCAAAATAAAACATAAAAAGGGCTGGAGATGTGGCTCCATGGCTAAGTGCCCCTGGGTCCAATCCCTGGAACCAAAAATTAAAATGTAAGTAAATAAATGAATATTTAAAATTTTAGAAAGAGTAGCAAATATCAGTTTGATACTGACTGAAATTAATTTCATCTCCTAATTTCAGGCTCTGGGAATATATTAATAAGATTAAATTAGTGTCTGCAAGGACATTAGGAATTGTATATAGTCTAGTTTTCTGATAATCCACTCAGGTTCTTACTTTAAGATAAGGAAAATGAAGCCCAGAGACATTGAGTCACTTGTCTGAGGTCACAGAGCTAAAAAGAAACAGAAGGGTTTTTTTTAACCAAGATGTATCTGGCACAAAAGTACATTCTTTCCCCAAACTCCAATGAAAATGTTCCCAGCGGCCCCTCCAGACATCATCATGCTCTTGTAAATGGATCCAACTAGTTTTCATCAGGGAGTGGAAAATAGCCAGGACATGATATTCTGTGAAATCTCCCTTAAACTCCGAATCCAGTGGTAACGGTTGCCAGGCAGATGTCACGTGCTAAAATGGCCTGTTTTAAGCAGTTAGAGCACTTTTAAAGAGCCTTCTCCTCTCGAGATGCATTACATCCTTAGCTTTGCTCTCTCCTCCTCCGCTCTGAAATACAATGCAGAAAAAAAAAATTTATTCCTTAAATAGAAAGCCCTGGTCTTGTAATTGGAGTTAGAGACTCTGAAATAAATGGAGAAGAAAGAGGCTGGCCCTCAAGACGGTGCCTTCTCCCTGAAGAATCCATTTGGACACAGAGACACACACACACACACACACACACACACACACACACACA